ACTTAGTATTCAATTTAGTGATTCTATCTCTTTAAGAGAGTTAGAACAATTTGAATTTTCTGTTTTATCCTATGTCCGTTTTCTATTTGTCTATTTCATCTAAGTTGTTGAATTTGTTAGCATGAGGTTGTTTGTAGTAGTCTCTTAACTTTTGTCTGTAGGATCTGTAATATAATCCTCTTATCCCTGAAACTGATGATTTGTGCTCTCTTTTTATCTTGATCAGTCTAGTGAAGGGGTTAAACAATTTATTGATATTTTCCAAGAATCATGTTTTAGCTTTGTTCACTTTCTCTATTTTTGTTTCTTTGTTTATCTCTTTTCTATTTCATGGATTTCTGCTGTTATATTTATTATTTCCTTTCTTCTATTTACTCTGGATTTGCTTTGTTTGTTTCCTAAATTTGTAAGGCAGAACCTTAAGTTACTACTTTTAGACAATTCTTTTGTAATATAAGCACTTAACATTATAACTTTGTTTCAAAACACTTTTCACTGCATCTGACAAATTTTGACACGCTAGTATTCCATTATTATTCACCTTGAAATATTTCATAATTTTTCTCATAATTTTGACTATTGTTCTTATTATTGTTAAGGCACAAGTAAACCATGTATCCACTCCCAAAGCAAGATTTTGGTAATTAGATTTATTGATGTTGTAGATGGTGTTGGCACAGATTTCTAAGCATATCATATGGAAGGAAGGATATAGGAAAAGGCTAGATCATGCCCAAATGTAGTGATTTCATTTTTTGGTTCCAATCCAGAGGCTGATTTGATGACCTTTCACTTAAAGGCAAATTAAAATATCTTGAAAACAGTACAAGATAATTTTGCGAATATCAATTTTAAATCAATGCGATTCTGTTTGTTGGAAGTTAAAATATCCCTGTGGATTCAGAACAAGAACTACTTACTGTTCATAGACAGGAAGATTAGGAATAGTAGGAATAATGGGTAATGCTGTTTCTCTAAATTCTTGATTAGCCCCAGTCATCCTCAACTTGGGCTCTGTTTAATGGCAATACTCCCCAAATTACTATTTTCTTCTTTTCTTCTTCTTGTATTTTGGTTTTACTCTCCATGTTTAGAGAAAAGAGAGAATGAGAAAATTATATAGTCTGACATCCAAGCTCTTTCACATCCTTTCACAGTATACCTCTTCAATTTTAATACACCTCCATAAATTCTCTGTTCCGGCCCCCTCAATCTACCTCCTTTTTCATTGACTTGAATATTGTTACTTCCTTCTCCCCTGTCCTTTTTCCATTACGGAGGCCTTAGTGATTATCCCTTTTCCTTAATTATTTGACTTATCTAAATCTTTTTTCACTTAGCTAATGTCCATTATTACTTTTAAATAATACATATTATGTAACAGGTACATTTATGTTATTAATAGCTATTATGTAATATATGTGTCCTTTCACATTTTACCCAGACTTCTTTGCATACTGAGTATCTAGCACCCTTAAAAGTTCAACAAATGTTTCATAAGGTTACAGATGATAATAAGAATGATGGATTGCAAATCATCTTTGAGAGATTGTGGTTTACATATCACTTACTTTCTTTTATTTTATAGGTACATTTAGGGAAGAACAGAAATGCACATACCGAGCCCTGATACAAGGCTACATCTGCAAACAGACTGACCAAGCAATCTTAATTCTTGACAATGCTGATGCCGCTTGGGCAATGAGGAAGTTATATCCAGTTGTATCTGTTACTCGTGGTTTTGTTGACACGTTTAGTAGTGTAAATGCCAAGACTCCCTGTTCTACTTCAACGCCTATATCTACTTTCTATTCCATTTTACCCACCAGAGAAATCACCAAGATCTGCTTTGTGGATCAGCCTCCGCAAGTGTTGCGTTTTTTTCTATTGGGGAACAAAAGTACCTCTAAGCTTCTTTTGGCTATATTCTACCATGGACTTCAGAGCCCCCATGTTTTCGTAGGGGAAAGTTTCATTCCACCCATTCTGGTTCAATCGGCTTCCTCATTGCTAGATGAATCTATTGGTTCTAACTATTTCAGCATCTTGGATAACCTCTTGTATGTTGTCCTACAAGGACAGGAGCCCATTGAAATACGCTCAGGGGTCTCCATTCATTTGGCCCTCACTGTGATGTTTTCAGTCCTAGAAAAAGGCTGGGAAATCATCATCCTTGAAAAACTAACTGACTTCTTGCTGGTTAACCAAGACCAAATCAGACTTATTCATGAGATGCCTGGCAATGAAGCAACCCTAAAGGCCATTGCTGATAATAAAGCAAAGAGAAAGCTCAATTGCCCAACTGTGACTTGTGCCAGTCATTACAAATTTGGTCAACGTAGACCTCTCATGATGGAAATGAGCTCATATAGGGTCCCACCACCAACCACTATGGAAACTATCTCAAAAGTGATAGTCATTGAAATTGGTGATCCACCAATAATAAGGAGCACTGGACTGATTTCATATTTATCAAGTAACAAATTACAGAATTTGACTCACCAGATTATCACTGCTCAACAGACTGGAGTACTAGAGAATGTTCTGAATATGACTATTGGGGCCTTACTGGTAACTCAGTCAAAGGGAGTCACTGGCTATGGGTAAGTACTAATTATAATAACATCTAAACAAGGGCTGATTTCTTGGGTGCATATTGCAAATGGCAGTTGACTTCCATTGAATCACATAACCTGTCTGTTTCTTAAGATAAGAATAAAAACTTAGTCACTTACAGACTTAAATTATTAATTTAAAAATTTTTTAATTAAATCTATATTTTTCATGACTATTCTATATCTTGGATGGTTGAAGATGTTATATTTTGGTACCTTAAAGTGAAAAGCATATAGGAAGAAATTTTTTCAAAACAGTTTGTTTTCAGTTCGTTTGTTCACTCTTTTATTCATGTAATAAATTTAAGTAGTAGGTTTTGCTAAGGTGAAACAGATATGATCTTTGCCTTAAGGGACAGAAACACTACATATCACAATTCCAATGAGCCACAAGCTAAAGAATGAGTACTGAGGAGGATGAGAATAATTCTTCTTACCTGGGGAAGGGACTTATGTTTAAGAAAATTTTGGAGGGATGACTAGGAATTTACTAGGGTAATGCAATGACTCTGATTGGGTTTTATTTAGCTTAGGATTATAACGCCCTGAAGAAGTTGCCTTTGTCAAATTGTATGAGGCAGGAGTGTCCCTGTTGCCAGCTATGTTTATGGCACAGACCTGTGTAAGATCTGTAACATCTTTTGTGCTATGTTATTCTGACTGTAAATGCTTATTTTTTATTTTGGAGTCCTTCACCAGATTTCTGTTCAATAGACATTTCAGAATTAAATTTACCTGAATGTTTTTCTGAGCTTAGTAAATGGAGAAGCCTGAGAAGTACACAATGGGGAAGGCAAGTGTAAATTCCTCTCAATTTTATAGATTGTGTTAGTCAATTGACCAGCCCAAGTTCATCTAAGGTTATCTCTCTTAAGGTCCAGACTGTAAGTCCCAAGCTCCAATTTTTAGCAGATGCAAAAGAACCAAAAATGATAGCCCAGACTGAGAGACAAGATGAACTTGTTACAGTGTTTAAGAAACATATATAAAACCAACCATCTCACAAATGAACACTGCTGGTTATAGAGGGCTAAAGGTGGGCAACATAGATATTCCTTATAAACTTATCACCACTACTGGAAAATAAGCTCAAACCCATGCACACTTTCAGTTGATACTGGGTCCCTGAAATTGGTAAAATTATTTAGATTCTGAGATATATTATTCAATGAGATTTTAGGACATTTATATTTGGACATTTATATTCTTTCAGATTATTCTGATGTTACTGCTTTCTCATTTTATTTGTGGTAGTACTACCAAATAATGGATATTTAATGGATATTAGTTACATCCATGTACCATCTTCAATGGATATGGGATTTGCTATAAAATAAGAGTAAAAACAAAAAGAGACACCTTCACATTGTTAGGCATATTTAACTAATACATTGATTGTGTTTTTAAACACAGAGCAATATATCCAAATGAAAACTTAGCTAGTGTTTTTGTATCATATTTTACCTGAATTACAATGTAGATAGGTGTTCCTTTTCCTAACAGTACACTAATATGTATGGGAGATACGAAAAGAAAACTCAAGCAGTTTTTTTCTCCCCCCAATCTTGTTGATTTGAAGGGCTTTCGGAATTGTTATTTTATAATTAAAAAGAACTCTTAGTGACACGATTGCTCAGAAGAATCTTTTAAATCTTGGATATTTTTACCAACCAGCAAACCATACCATGTTATGTCATTATGCTATAATGCATGGTAATATAAGAATCAAGAACCTGAAAAAAATGATGCCAATGCAGCTTAGCTTATATTTATTTATTTATTTATTTATTTATTATTTTTTTTAAACAAGAAGTTTATTTAAACAACAAGACGCTTGACTTGAAGGGAAAACTATCTAGGATTCATTTCTTTTAGAGTAATTTATCCCTGCTTAAAGACAGATTGCCCTACATGTAACAGCTACGTACAAAAAAGTTATAAAATTGTCCTTGGTTTTACAATGATAAATGAAAAACATTAAAATTCTCCAATCGAACAAGGTATGCAAGGATTTTTATGTTGTTCTTTTTTTGTTAAACAGTGAGAGCAAAATAACTTACTGGAATATAAAGATAAGAGCTGACTGAGCATGCCACTAATGGAGAGAGGGGGTATTTTCACAGAAGCAGTATTTTCCCCCATCCCATCTCCGTTTGATGTCGATCAAAACATACCATTGGCCATTTAGTTAAAAAAAATGCAATATGCTTGTGCACATACACAGTTACTTTATGTACAATAAAGGAATGGGGAAGGGGAAAATGAAAGGTTAGAGAAAACTATACTGTAGTAGTCGTCAGGATGTGGTGGAACCAAATTGCGGCTTTCTAATTGAGAATGTCTTCTTGGTTCTGGAGTTCTGGAGTAAAGTAGCAGGTTCCCTTTTTAGTAGGCACCTCCTGTCTGCTGCTGGAACACATCAACTGTATCTTCATCCTCCATTTCCAACTGTGCAGGTGTGTCTGTTTCATTGATTGGCTGCCTATCAAATCGGAATCTGATCTGCCTCATTGACAAACCCTGTTGTTCACAATAGGCTTTCATTAGTTTACTAAGTGGTGTATGCCTCTTAATCTTAAATTGCACCACAGAACCATCCTGCCCCGCCACCTTCAAATTAATATGATTGTTGTTCTCAGTCTTGACTCCTTCCTTGGGCTTTTCATTGGCCATAGCGAGCGCCGGAGTGTCCTCAGCTGCCGCTTCACAAAAGAGGTACCAGGTCCGCACCGAACGAGGACACAAGCCCAGCTTAGCTTATATTTAAATATCTTTTCCCTTTAGCCCAATTTCATTTAGATCCCACTGAGTTCTTATAAATATATTATAAGTATGGCCGACTAGAGAGAAAGAGGGCCAATCCATTGCTAAATTTTATTTAGATTTTACAGTACTGAGCTTTTCTAGTAGGTCATCATTCCCAAATAATTGATTTTGTGTTACATATAAAAAGAGATTCCGTGAATATTTAGCCTTTAACTAGAAGGAGAGAAGAGTCAAAGAGTAGAAGCAATGGAGGTATAGCAGAGGAAGCCCAGCAAAGAGAGTGAATCCGGCACCAGTTTAGGTACACACACATATCTGTGGGGGATATCATTCCATTATGAAGAGGCGAGACAGTTTCAGAGAAGAGATCATCTTTATGGCCCACCATCCATCATAGCCATCATGTTTTCACTTTTGACTCAGATATTTCTGATTTAATAAGAAGCTGCCGAACATGTATATTATAGCATCGATTTTTCTGTTGGGATGTGTTCTATTCCCTCATCTCTCTCTGTCCCTCTAGTATTTTAAGAGGAATTTCAAACATAAGGCAAAAAGCAAATCATCTGAAGATAAAGAATAGCTGCTTCTTAAGAATATCTGAATAAATCTCTGCAGAATGAGAAATGCCTTGTCCTAAGGGATTGAATGAAAATTAGCAAGGTGTCCCATGGTCCAAAGAATTGCACAATATGCTAAACAACCCTGGAACCTTGTGCAGGCCTCTGGCCAGCCCTGTTTCTTTCAACTTTGATCAGTGTCAGTTGGGACTTCCATTGAACTTACTGGAGAGCCATTGACAAGCTAATGAACTGACCTTGACACAGCAGAATCAGCCCAGGGATGCAGGCCTTTCAGTGAAAAACACCAACGATGTTCTTGAGAGGCTCATGATTGTTAATTTAATGGGTTTGCATACATTTCAACAAACTGAGGCCATATTGGGCATTTACTTTTTTTTTTTTGGTTTTGTTTTTTTTCTTTAATAATTTTTTATTGTTATGTTAATCACCATATATTACATCATTAGTTTTTGATGTAGTGTTCCATGATTCGTTGTGCATTTACTTTTTAAGGAGAGTACTACCAGCTTTCAAAAAGTTACTAACCTCTTTTTTGGGGAGTAGAAATGGAGTTCTTTTTACTTTTTAATTAAATAATACACAGTGAATTGGCCTCTCCTGGTCTTTATCCTCTTCTAGAGACATCTGGATTTAAATTCTGTCTGCTAGGCTAAGTCAATTCCATGAACCTGTTTTCCATCTTCCAAAACTTCATTGACTTCTGTTGTCAATACTGCTTTCCCCTCCTGCCTTCTTTGTCTTTGTTAGTTTACCCCATTTATGCCAAGTGGTTTACACCATTTTTATTTATTTTTATTCTTTTAAGTAATTTCAGTGGAGTAGGGGACACAGAGATAAACATAAGTTCAATCTGCCCTTTTTAAACTGGGCATTCTCCACAGGAGTCTTATTTCTATATTCTGTCTTTTATCTGGAATCCTGGCAGGACACATTTTATATTGCTTACCTTTCTTTCAGTAGGAACTTGATTTTTGCTCTCTTAAATATTTCCCTTCCTTTCTCCTCTTCTCTCCCCTTCCCCCTGCTTCATTACAAACAAATTTTTTTAAACACCTTTAAATAATATTCTTTGTCATACAGTAAAATTAAATATATCTGTATCTTTTATGGATGTTTAAATATTGAAATGCCAAAGCTATTTGTGGTTGGCAAAATTTCTAAAATGACCTCCCAAAGATGTGCTGCCCTATTCCCAGGAATCTCTGAATATGGTCAGACAGCATTTCATTAACTACAGGATGTTAGGTGGCACCGTTGACCCAAAGATAGACTATCCAAGATTATCAAGGTGGGCCCAGATAATAACGTGAGCCCTTAAAAGGAGAGAGCGTTCTCCTGCTCTGGCAGAAGAGGAAGACTAAGAGACTCAAGGTGTGAGATGGACTTGAAGGGCCCACTGTTTTTAAGATGGAAGGGACCACCTGGAAAAAAAGCAGGTGGAGTAAATCGAGAATGGACCTTGGCTGACAGCCAGTGAGGAAACATGGACCTCCATTCTATAGCCACAAAGAAATAAATTCCACAAATTTATAAGTTTAGAAGTGGATTCTTCCTGAGAGCCTTCAGCACTAAACCCAGCCAAGCCTGTCTGACTCTTAACCCACAACTCAAAGATAATAAATTTGTATTATTTTAAGCCACTAAGTTTGTGGTAATTTGTTACACAGCAATAAAAATCTAATACGCTATTTCAAATAAAGTTCTCTGTTAATGACATTGCCAGGATCCTTGGCTCCTGAAAACGGTTCTAGTCAGGGTGAGAAAGACACTGTAGGAGTGTCTGTGTGTTCTTGAGCCCATCACCTTAATATCTTTTTAAGTTCCCTTACTCTGTGTAAATAGCACCTTACAAGCCGACTTGGAATAGAGAGGAGAGCTAGCTGAGACCATTGGTGAGACTAACAGCCTATTGACACTCAGTCTCATTTAGCGTCTTCTTTGGTATAACCTCTCCATACCTCCAGGCACCTGCTTTCTAGGAAACAGCTGTCGGGAGTATACAAGGACAGAATCTTCTGTCAACATGTGAGGACATTCTTCCCAAGGCTGGCAGAATGTTCATTCTGGAAGAGATTTCTGTACTGCCAGCTTGTCTCTTTCCTCCTTCATGGCAAAACCACTGATCTACCACTGAAGAATGTTTCTGTGCTATTTCTTCTTTTCGCTACAATACAAATTTGCTGCTTTGTTGAATTAGGTGAATGGCAAAATTGTCATAATGGTATTTCATATATCTGGCTTTGTGGGAAAATGAGATGCTCTGCATAGGCAAACTTTCCATTTAATTAAAAATTGTTCCTTTTATCACTACATTTTTAAAAGCGTTCATCTCTTAAACCCCCCCCAAAAAACCCCAAAAACATATTATCCAGCCTTATTAAACTGGAAATAATGTAGACCATTCACATTTTTGTTGATGATTCATGGTCATCATTAAAATTATCATTTATTTCACAATCCTGTTTCTGCAGTGATACCCTCAGGGACCATTGTTCTTACACTAAATGGCCCCAGATGACTAAATCCTTGATTCTACTTCTGCAGGTTATGTTTTTCTGCTATTTTCCTTATAAGTAGGATGTAAATTGTAATCCATTGCTACAGCTGACATATCTGCATCCAGCAGATCCCCACTCACATTCGTATGTAGTTCTAACTCCAAAATTGAACGCTGCTACCTTAAAATCGAGTAATTAAGATCTCTGTGTATGGGTGGTGAAGTTGTAGGTAAATATAGTAGGGATTCATAAAACCTTACATTTCAACGTCTTTTATTTCCCAAACATTAATTGAACAGCTATTATGTCCAAAAAATTATATGGCTCAGATGAAAATCTAGAGATTTAAAAATTAATGAATAGGTAAAACAAACATTTCACAACTACTTAACAAGAATATATTATATTAAATCTAATTCTATATATAATTACAAAGAAACTAATTTGATATGAACCTGCTTTACCATTAGTCCAGGTTTTCATAAAATTAACTTTAGTTATATTAACTTTGGTATATTTTTATCTTTATAATAATTATTAGGTCAACACTTCAACTTACTCTTATAGTCCCAAGAGTGCCTAAGCACAGTGTCATGCACAATAAATGATCATTAAATATTTGTTGCCAACAGTGAAATGTAACTGTTTGGCCTCTCTACTATTCTGATACTCCGTGTAACCAATATCCTGTATTGAATCTCTTTCATCAACTAAATCTTGGATCTTGTTTTCCCGGCCACACTATGAGTGCTACAACACCCTAACGCAAACAGGACATTTTGAATGGTTTGGGTGTGACCTTAAAGAATGTATTCAGAGTTTCCATTATCCCAGATAAGGCAGTCATGATAAAGTTTTCATAAAATATTATTTTAAGTGAGTTTCCATCTGAAATACTTAGGTTTTAACCCTTGAGTTGGCCTTGTTGGAAGATGTGCCATGTTTATTCTCTGCCTTCATATACTCCTGGCACACTGCAACCTACACCTAGGGTGACTCAAGTCTCAATTCAAAATGAATAATTTCAAAGAACCACAGAGTTTAGTAATAAGTATTGGAGCATAACAGTAAGCATACCAAATGAGGAGTATACCAGAACTTGAAGTTGGCCAAGCCAATATAAGAAGTGGCTTTCCAGAGGCAGGTGAAGACCTAAGAGCAGAGGAAGTACATGGTGGGTACTGATTTGTCATAGTGTTACTACAGTAACATGTATTGGGTACTTACAGTGTCTCAGGTTTGGAAGCACTTTGTCGTAGTGCCAGAAGGAAACTGTCTGATCACAAAGACATTTCTTCCCTCTTCTCTCCCTAGGAGTTGACAGCAGCTAAAGGCATCTGGCTGAGTTTAATAGGGAGCATAAAGACTGGGAAATATAAATAAAAATGGTGTGTGTCTGTACTCTGAGAGATAGCCAGGAAATCATTTTTGCCTTACAAAGTATATGGAGGCGGGGAGGAGGTACCATGTTCCCGAGGGACAGAGGTTATGGTATCTTATTTATCTTTGCACATCTCACAGTGCCTAGAACAACATTAGTTCATAGTAGAAGGGTTAACATGTTTGTTAGACTGAGCTGACTAGAGAGCTTACTTTCTTCTTCGAGGGTATAGAATCTTGCACACTTCTTTGGAATTCAAGTCCCCTGATGGCACATAGAGATTCTGCCCTATCTAGCCTAGTTGAAACAGGACTGATTGAAAATGCAGGACACCTGAAACATTTAATCAAAACATGGGGCACTTTTATAGGAACCTGACTTAGTAAGTTGGAGGAGACAAAGGTTGAAGAAGGAACAAGGAACTCTCTCTAATGCCCCTACCTTCAGCCCACCCCCCATAGGTCTTGCCCAGAGCCAGCTTTCAGTAGGATTTATTTCTTT